AAAATTGATTCAGAACAGGTTTACAGGTATGTGGTAGAGCTCTTTACTGAGCGCCTTTCAGATCTTATCGCATCAATGCCTATGAGTCCAACAAGAAACTTCCAGGAATAATCAGTGAAACTATCATCAGAGCTAGTGCCTGGACACAAACTGGACCTGTCCCTAAAGCTTTGTGATGGCAAATAGATGGTGAGAACTTGGGGCATTTGTAGTGGATCCTTTAGCATTCACCTGGGAGAAGAGAACATATATTTAATAGAAGGTGAACATATTGAAATTTGTAGTTGTTTATTAATCTAAAGAATAGGAGACTGGCTTCTGTGCTGGGGAAAAAGTTGGGACTCAGATAAACAACAATTCCTAGTTAGTATCAGGTATATTTAGTATTTAGTAAATTCATAACTGTAACAAACTAGTTGAGCAGCTACTACATTCCAGGCATTGCACCAAGTCGTAGGCAAACAGCAGTGAAGAATGAGACCAAATCTCAACGGCCAAAAAGCTCACATTCTAGCCCAGGCTGGCGCGGCCTGTGGTTAGAGTGTCGGCCTGAGCACCCAGGGTCTCAGGTTTTGATTCCTGGTCAAGGGCATGTGCCTGGGTTGCAGGTTTATACCTGGCCCCGGTGGGGGCGCATTTGGGAGGCAACTGATCGATGCGTCTCTCTCATATCAGTGTTTCTCATTCTCTCTTCCCCTCCCCTCCTCCTTTCTATTCTTTCTGAAAATCAATGGGGGAAAAATATCCTTGAGTGAGGATTTTAAAAAAATTTTTTAAAAAAAGCTCACATTCTAGAAGGAGATGACAAACAATAAATAAATAATCCACCATCTGGTATGTCAGGTGATAGATGCAACTGAGAAAAGGCAGGGTAAAAGGGGTAATGGGAAGCGGGCCGCCTAGTCAATGCTGCTTTCTCCTGCTCATTTCCAGGCGACCGTGGGGATCATCTTCCGAGTCACTCAACTTCTAACTTTCTTAAGCTGTGAAATGGGAAAAATAATAATGGAATTGTGCATGGTTTTACTTATTTGTGTGCTAGAATGCAGGTTTAAACAGTCTTTCCAAACTTTGATTTGTTTAGAACTTTAAAGCAGAGGAAAAGGCAAGATTGCTGGAAGGCTTGCCGATTTAACATTGACAAAATATTGACAAAATATTTGGAAGTTGTCCAAAATTATAGGCTTTAGTGAAATGAAAAAGGATTACACACACACACACACACACACACACACACACACACACACACACCTATGTACACTAGAAAAAGCAATGGGCAGAGACCCTCAGGAGGCTCAGAAGGTAGTTTAGGCTCTATTATTCCATGGCCATGGAAATCCTGCAATCTCTGTGCCTCTCTGTTTTCTTGTCCATCAAATGATGTTAAGAGGCCATCAGTCCTACTTTTTGTCTCCCCAGACACTGCTACTCCCGCTTTTGTTTTTGAGAACCGAAACACTGTTGTGTATATTTCTGTTGTGATTCTTTCCTTTTTTTAAAAATCCTCACCAGAGAATATGTTTTTTATTGGTTTTAGAGAGAGAGGAAGGGAAGGAGAGAGAAAAACATGGATGTGTGAGAGAAACATTGATTGGTTGCCTCCCATACGTGCTCCAAGTGGAAATTGAACCCACAACCTAGGTATATGCCCTTTCTAGGGATTGAACCCACACCTTGGTGTATGGGACGATGCTACAGCCAACTGAGTTACTGGGCCAGGGCCTGATTTTTTTTAAAATTTATGTTGGACTGTAACAATTTCCTTTTTAGATATAGAAGTCTCCTTTGCAATAAAGAGCAGTACTGCTCCTGTTCAGTGTTTCTCTGATCTGGGACAGGGAGAGAAAATCCTGACAACCCAAGGCTCCCAGGACTTTGAAAAAACCCTGATTCATTTCTTTCCTGTGGTTTCTTCATGCCTCACTTCTGGCGATGCTTTGAAAGCACATTGGTCACTATTCTGGTAAATATGTTAAAATGATCAATAACATGATATTATTGGAAAATCACCAAGTCATTTCAAAGGTAAATGGAATGTTAAAGTTGCATGCCAAGATTTTTACTCAAGCATACCTTTTTAATCCTGTTTGAACCTCTTGATATAAATAATCTGTTATTGTTATAAAAACAAAGCTGCATTTTTTCAAACACCTTCATGCTTATGTCAACTTATCAAAAGGAGAGAGATGGCCTTAGAAAACAATCCTTTTTTTAAACAATATTTTAAAAAAATGTTTTACCATATCTAGTAGTTTTCCAATGTCATCTTTTATTTTACATTAAAGAAAAATCTTTTTGCTTTATTAAAAAAACATTTTTTCACTAGATGGCTTCAGTTTTTGTTTTTAATATGATGGCAAGCCCAGGGAGATGGCAAAATTAGCTGGCACATTGCCTCGTATCAACCTCCAATGTCAAACCTTAAGAGAAAATAGCCCAGAATTCTGCAGATGAGTTTCTTTTTTGAGATTCTGTGGAGAAGTGATCTGTGAATAGTACCGTTGCCCAGTGAATGCAGACTGGATGGCGAAAGACTAATTTCAGCCCTTGCAAAAAGATGGGAACATTTGCTTTTACTTACAATGTCTTCTTAGTGTTAATTTCTCCATAGAAACATTAGTCATGATAGAGTCTTGAAAGCTCCCTAGAGCCTTCAGAGAAGAGCTGACCAACTAGAACATGAACTTAGAACCACCCTCCTGCAGATCACATATATATGCTTCAACCTTCACCTTCTACTATGAACAGGTAGTTACTCTCTTTATTTCGATCTTGATCTCTATCTGTGTTGATGACACCAACTTTGTATTAAAACTCCCCTTCATCACTCTTACTGGTGTCAACCTCATTGAAGCTCCCCTTTACTTTTCTCTTCTACCTCTCAGGTGTCTGAACCTCCAAGACGCCTCACTCTAATCCGTCCTATAACCTCCTGCAGACTCACCTTCCCTGAACTCCCTTGCATCATGCAGTATCCACGCCAGAACCCTTTAAGAACTCTCAACTGATCCTATGATAATGTCAGTCTTCTTAGCCTGACGTTCAGTGCCCTTCATGGTCTGATACTAGTGTCAAGGCTTCTATACTCTCCCACTCTCATGCCCCACCCCACTGTCCCTTGTCCCTGCCTGTCTTCCAGGAGTGGACATTCTCCATCCGACTCATCCATTTTTCAAGGTCCACCTCAAGCCACACTTTCAAATACTATTACCTTCCTTGACCATTCTAATTCACAGTGATTTTTCGCCACCTCTAAAAAACATAGACTACCCATTGATTTGGCCCTAAATCACACACTCGTACTGAAAACTGGTATGTGGAAGTACAGGCTTGTTAGTACTTAATACATGGAATCGAATCATAGAGGTGGGATGAACTTTAGCTATCATTCAAGTCAAGTCAGCATCTCCCGAAATAGAGGAAATTCTCTCCCTCTGGGTCAGCAGTTCTCAACTTGTGGGTCGAGACCCCTTTGGGAGTCGAACGACCCTTTCCCAGGGGTCACCTAAGACCATCGGAAAACACATATATAATTACATATTGTTTTTGTGATTAATCACTATGCTTTAATTATGTTCAATTTGTAACAATGAAATTGGGGGTCACCACAACATGAGGAACTGTATTAAAGGGTCGCGGCATTAGGAAGGTTTAGAACCACTGCTCTGGGTGAACACTGGCTGATGAGATGTTGTGCTTCAAAATGTGGCCTTTTCACCTTTGATTTGCTCTTAAAATGAGTGGCAACTGCTTTTTAAGGAAGAAAACCCCCACTCATCCCATTCCAACCAAGTGAGAATCTAATGCCTGGGAGGCTGGGGGTGGGGGGGAGAAAGGGGTGGTAGTGAGAATCCTCCTGCTCTCCCTCTGATTAAGATTTCCCCAAGTCCAACTGAAACCCCTTGTGCCTATTTTTTAACAACTACTCTAAGCACGGTCTGCAGATCTTTGGTGTCAGCATCATCTGACAGCTTGTTAGAAATGTAAATTCATGGTCCCCAAACCAACTGAACTGGAAACTCTGAGGGTGGGGCCCAAGAATCTGAGTTTCAAGTTAGAGGACTACACCTCCCATATGAAATGGAAAACAGGTGGCCACTTTCTGTGTCTTTGCATACTTAAAAACGGGGCCACTTTGTCACCTTTTCTTCAGCTAAATCCCTTATAACTAACTCTACCTCGGTTATCTTATTTTGCCATCCAGCTGGTCACCCACACATTGCACATTTGACAAGCAGTTGAGGGCACAGGTATAGAAGAGCCCCACATTCCTCCAGACCTTATCCCTCTGAGGCACAAAGAGAAAAACAGCTCCAGGTGACCGCACGAAAACCCCCCTTTTAAGACGGGCCCCATGTGGTTTAATTTCCTTAAAAGCCTCGCCGGAAAAGGTTTGTGTGTGTGCGACCCCAGCTGGGCTGGGCCGTAGGTTTTTACCGCGCGGGAGAGAGGCAGGGCGGGCCGAAGGCGAACAGAGGGTGACTCCCAGTTGTGTTTTGAGTGGTTGCTTGGGTATCTCGCCCCTCCAGCAAACACTCTCAGTTTCTTGTCATGAAAGGGGAACCCTGTATTTTGTAGACAAGGAGGCAGAGAAGCAACTTTCGAAGGGGGGAAAAAAAAGACGAGAGAAAAGGAACCGCGTTGTTTGTCCTGTAAGAGCAACACGCCTGGCGACGGGGGCTGCCTGCGTCTTCTGCGGTTTTCCTTGCTCTGGCCCGCGGGGGTTCACTTCCACCCTCTAACGCTCCAGAAGTGAAGCATCAGGCGGGCGCTGCAGTCCCGGGCCGCTAGCTCTACCCCGGCCCCAGCTGCAGGGGATCCCGGCCCCGCGACCGCGCAGCCACTTTCTCCCGGGCCGGGCAGGGGCGGGTCCTCGCCGCCCGGGCGCTGCGCCCCACGCGCGGTAGGGGTCGCTGCGCCGCGGCGCGCTCGCTGCGCGTTGGATAACGGGGCCGGGCTGGAGGAGAAAGGAAACCTGCCGAGGGAGGCGGCGGCAGCCGAGAGGGAGCGAGGAAGGAGAGTTCACTTTGGCTCCGGTGTCAGCGCGCGGCGGCTGCACGGGCGCCGACGAGGGAGCAGCGAGGGAGCCGGTCGCCCATCCCGGGACGGCTCGGGGAGGGCAGCGAGAAGCCGGATACGAGCGCGCCGGCGGGGCGCGGAGCCGGCGAGCCTGGCGAGCGAGGGAAGCCGCGGGGGGCGCGCCCGGGGCGGGCCCCCGGAGGCGCGCAGGATGCCCCACGAGGAGCTGCCGTCCTTGCAGAGACCCCGCTATGGCTGTAAGTGCGCCGGGCGTGCGGGTTCCCACCGCCGGGGAACCCTCTCCCCGAGGAACGCGTTGGAAAAGCCGAGGGAGCCGGCTGCGCGCCGCGGAGAGAGCGGGAGGGCAGCGGCTGTGTGGCTGCAAAGTTGGGAGGTGGAGTTGCAAAGGGGAGGAAGCGACGCCCTCCCACTCTCCCCACACATTTCAGATCCCCAGCTGGCAACACCTACGCTCTACCCGCAACCCCCCCGGGGCGCGCCGGCAGCGCTGGGTCTGCGCGCTGGGACCGACCAGGTTGGGGGCTTATGGGTATCAGGTGAGGAGCCCGCGGGGCTCCAGGCCGCTGCTCACTTGGGCCAGGGGGTGGCGTAAGGGGCTGGATTCGGTCGACTTGGAAGGAAAGGAAAGTTTGTTTGCTGCGGCTACAGGTGGGCGCCGAAGTGGTGTGCCCGCGCACTGCGCTCGCGTGGCCAAGGCGGCTTTTCTGGAAGGCAGGCATTTCCTCCTATCACGCTCCCTCGGGCTTCACCTGAGCCGCAGGAGCCAGTTTGGGCCTCACAGATGTGAACCCTTTCGTGCTGCTGCCAAAGGGAACACCTCCGGCCCCGGCGTCTCCTCGCTCCCCTCTAACCCCGCCGGACAGTGCCGCGCACGCGGGAGGGCTGCCGCGGAGAGAGGAGCGCGCGTGACTAGAACGAGATGGTGTCCATTACCCCACGGCCTGCCCTCTGAGAGAGGTTGCTTTAGAGGCGGGTCGGGGGTGGATGGAGCCAGATTAGCACCAACCACGTGGCTTCGTGTGCAGAGTTCAGAGTCTTTACTAAACATGTGCCAGGAAGTATTTCTTCTAAAACAAACAGAAAGTTGGCGCTCTCTCTCTCTCTCTCTCTCTCTCTCTCTCTCTCTCTTTCTCTCTCTCTCTCTCTCTCTCTCTCTCTCTCTCTCTCTCCAGGGTTGGTCCTATTAGTGAGGCTTGGCCAAGGACCACAGGTTAATCTTTTGTGGAGGCTGGCTTGGTGGCAAAGGTACCAGGTTTTGGTTAAGGTGGTGTCGTAGGGTTGTTTTTTTTGTGGTTTAGCTGTTGGGGAAGCCCACAGACTTGCCTAAGAAAAAAAGGGGAGTAGTCAACTTGTGTAAGTTCCCGCTCCCCTTCCTTGGAATGGAGTGTCAGAGATGGCAAGTTCGTTTTCCAGCGTGACCCTGCTGGTGTCAGGCCGTGAGGAGGAGGCCTGAGGAGTCAGCTGAAGCCTCCGTGCTGTAGGGAAATGCATTCAGCAGTTAACCAAGACCCAGTTCTTTGCAGCCTTAGTTTGCACTTTGGTAAACCACACAGACAGCAGAGTTCCTTGGGTGCAAGGAGGCATGCTGGGCTCATCCAAGTTGGGTAAAGCCCTTTATATATGTGACAAGCTCCCAGGACATATAGTAGCACAAGCATGTCAAACTCAAAGGCTAACACGGGCCAAATAAGGTTTGTTTATGTGGGCCGCAAAAAAACAAAAGCTTCAATTTTCATAGAAACATAGGTTTATTTCGATAGAGACATGCTGAATACGAAGGGCTGAAATAAATGAGTAATTGTTAACATAAAATAATAGAACATTTTAATAAAATTAACATTTTTTCTTGAATATTAACTTACCAGACACTGAATAACTGCACAAATTAATAAGCGTAACGCAAATAAATCTATTTTTCTTGTTCTCCAAGAGCGCAATATTTCATGTTGCGCACACCAAGCAAGTCAGTCCAAGACTAATGATGTGACAATCGGCTGCTAAAATATTCGCTGCTAGTATTAGTGGAGAGAAATGGTGCGCCTGCATGTAAGGCATGTAAGGGAAATGGATGCAACATTATCATAGTAATCAGTCATTAGCGAACGTTGTAGTTCATTATTCATAATTATGTATAACAGAATATTGTAAAAATTAAGTTAAGACATTTTTATTAAAACGTTTCTTACATACCGTTATATTGGCTGGGCCGCAAAAATATTCGTGTAGGCCCCCAGGCCGTGAGTTTGGCCCCCAGGCCGTGAGTTTGACATGCTTGTAGTAGCATCACTGTGCCAAATTATAAGATGACCACAAAGTCTGGAAACTGGGTGAATATGTCACATTTTAAACCATGGTCTGTTCCGTGTGCGGTCCTTCACTAGTTCATCGTGGTGTGAAAAGTTGCAGTGAGTGGAGTGTGTTCATGCAGCTTTCCATCTGTCTCTGCATGTGCATCTGACATGTTGCTTCGTTTTCATTAATTACACCCCTCAGAAGCAGCAGTCGAGGAAGTCAGATCCACGAGCATGAAGAGCGCTCCACATGGCCACTGTCTTAGGAAATCATCATCCAGCTTTTCTGCCGATTCTGGTCCCATATGCCACCTTGTCAGAGTCACTCCTATTTACCTTCCCCCGGGTCATGAAGAGCTGGCATTCTTTGGTCACTTAATGTAGTAGTAAGTGGAAAATATTTGCCAGTTCCAGACTTTCGGACCACCCTGAAATGTGAAGGCTGTAATGCAATAGCCTGTTAGGTCCTAAAATGAACATTTCTCTGATTTTGATACCAGTTGTGTGAATGACACATGTTTGTAATCTATTTTTAAAGTATCTGGTGGCATATACGTTAGTGTTAATAAGTGCTACCTAACATTGACTATTCATGCAAAAGGGAATGATATGATGTCTTAGGATATATCATTTCTGGTTGTTGTTGGCTTTCTGGGCTTCTGTCAACACGAGGATAATGCAGGCTTGTCCTTGCTGTGTTGCATGATAGGGCTTCACGTTTTACTTTTTGTGGGTTTGGTAAGTACAGGTTCAATAAAACCTCAAACTATACCAAACAGACTTTATCCCAGACATTTAAAAATAAGCAAAGTCCCAATACATTCCCTGTTCATTGTTATCATTTCAGTTCCAGTGTTGTACGTTTTGAGTAAAAGGAACTTGGGCTTTAAAAACAGCATTTTGGTAGTTTGAATTAAGTTGTTAGAGTTGTTTCAGGTCTGGTCTTCTGTTTGCCATCTCTCCTTCTACCCTTGAAATGCCTTTTAATTTAGTAATTCTTGTACAGGGTAAATAAGCTCAGCTCAGACTGTTCTAGTATCTTTCCTCTCCGCCGGGCTGAGTGTCTGTAAAACACTGTGGAGTGAGCTGTACTTGAGAGATTTCTCAATGAGTTCTCCAGGAAGGCGCCCTTCTCAGATTTCTCTCTTTCCTTCTTCTTTTTTTCTGACATGAGAGATTGCTGAAATCTTCCTGATTACACATTGGTGCAGTGAATTAAAACGAAAGAGACCACTTTCTGTTTAATTCCTGATGCTTTCATGTTGGCCACATCTCCCTGCAACCTGTGAAGTTATTTTGTGTGGTATTACTACAGAACAAAATTAAAATACCAGCTTTTCACTAGATGCAGGAAAGAACTGAGAAAAAAAAAAGGGAAAGGTGGAAACTGCTGTACTAATTTAGACAAAACTAGAAGAGTATGTATTATAACCAGAATGTTTTTTTACACTCAAAACCAAATTTAAATGACACTTTAGGTATATGTTCAGAAATGACTGTTGTGCTGTTGTAATGAATTATGATGTATTTTCAAAGTAATTCTTAAAATACATTTCTACCATGACCTCAAAAGTTTTGTTTTAGTTAAAATTGAGAGTTAAAAAGGCCAGGAAGGGCAAAAGAGGGGCTTTGGGACCAGATTTATCACTGATAACTCATTCAACATTTAAGTGCCTACTGTGGGTCTGTAATCAACGTTCATGTAGTAGGAGCTGTGGTTATCTACCTTTTGCATTCCTTTCCTCTCATGAGAAACATTGTAAAATTAATAGTAATCAAGGTTTCACTGTTGGTTTCTTTTAAAACGAGCAACATAAACCCTGTGTGTGTGTGAGTGTGTGTGAGAGTGAGTGAGTGAGTGAGTGTGTGTGTGTGTGTGTGTGTGTGTGTTGCAGAGGAAGGAAGGTTCTGGCTGATGCTGTGAGCTTTTGAATAATGCTCTTGTCTGAATGGTGGGATTTCTAAATCACCTGGTAACTGCAATATTGGAGTGGGCAACGTAAGTAAACTTACCTCTTTACCAGCATCAGCCGGAGATGAAAAAAATGTCAGTTCTGAACTAGTTAAACTTGGGTGTGTAAAACAGGATTGAATGCATCTGTGTTTAATGCAGCGTGGCTCTAACATTTTGTTAGTGCTTTCATTCGAACGGCAGAAGGTTTGAGATGTGTGCAATGTCCCTGTGATGCTGTCTTTGGGAGACAAAAAGTCAAGTCACTCCTTCATATGCTAATGTTTCGGTTGAGCATTGCACAAGGAGCTCTAAGGTCAACAGCTAAAGTGTTGTTTTAGTATGCTTTTAACTTTAATTACACATGTTAGCCAAATGACTTGTTTGGGAGAGTTTAAGCTTGCAATACAGAGTTTGTTTTAGATTTTAGTGTTACTTAGGATGTTAGCTAACCCCTTTGCTGTTACCCTTCACCTTCTACTCCAAAAGCTTTTAACAGCTCATTTTATTTAAAAGGTTAGTATCCTCACAAAATAACCACAAGAGAAACAAAGGACACTCAGCTTCTGATTTGGTAGTCAGATAAGTCGGACAGGGTGGTAGGCAGTTCAGCATGGGTGTGGAATTAAGGTGTGTGAACGTATTCAGAGCTGGCTGCTCTTCCTGTGCTATTGTTATCAGCTGCTCATTACCTTTGAGAGGGCCACTAGCTTCCCCATTTCACAAAGGAGCTGAAATCCAGGATGTTGTCTCCTGGCCACACCGTTAGCAGGTTACAGTGGGAACTGGAAAGCCAGCGCTTGTCAGAACCTGAAGCTCATGGGCTATGGCCAGTTCACCTCCCTTGAATGGATTGTAGGTGTTTCACCCCTGTTTCTGTTTAAGGGGTTTGCCATGACTTCATCAAACTTCAGAAACCTGTAGCCATTTGGATAGTACGAGCTTACAAGATGATGCATGGTATTCTCTAAAGTTGATCCTCCCAACCCACCTG